AATAAGTATTAGTTACAATTGCAAGCATAAGTTTGACATTGGAGAGATTATCTTCAACCCTAATGGTATAGTCAAGCCTTAACCTAGTGTATTGCAGTTGGCAACTCATATAAACCTGTATCTTTCCCATGTGAACTGAGCGATAAAGAAGCAATAATAAATCAGTTAAGCTACTTTTTGAAATATTGTCTTGCTTAATTTAAAGTCTATAGAGTACCAACATTCAGTTTTAAGCCTTCTTTATTCTATGAATTATAAGTTTTCGTTTAATGCATAAATTACCGTCATATTCTCTACCCTTATACCCTAATTTGGGCATAATTGTATTTTTCTTATTGCTTGCTCGCTATGGTCGCATATTTATTCAAGTACCAAAGTCAGAATTTTCAATACAAATATCAAGATAGTTCTACTGTATGAGGTGGAAACTTGGAGAACTACGAAAGACATCATCCAGAAGATACAAATGTTTATTAACAACTGTCTATGCAATATACTTTAGACCCGTTAGCCAGAAACTCTCAGCAATAACCTAATATGGAAGAGAACAGACCAGATCCCAGCGGAGGAAGAAATCAGGAAGAAGTACTGGAAGTGGATAAGATTCACATTGAGGAAAGCACCCAATGGCGTCACAAGGTAAGCACTCATCAGTTGGAATCCTCAATGCCAAAGAAGGAGAGGAAGACCATAGAACACATTACACTGAGGAATGGAGACAGAAATGAAGAGAATGAACAAAAATTGTACAGAACTAGAAAAGAAGATTCAGGACAGAGTGGGTTGGAGAATGCCGGTCGGTGGCCTATGCTCCTCCATTGGGAGTAACAGGCGTAAGTAAATAAATATGTAAATGCTTCACGTTATAATTTATAAATTACCGACTCTATATTAACTATACAACTTCTGTTTAAAACAAACTATAGAATGCTGTTTATTTATTGTTACTATAATGAATATCTACTGAAGAAAGGTAGGCACTTAGCAACAATAACTTACTTTAAACCTAAATAGATATAAGCATCATATATTGAATTTATAATAAATCAATTTATTAAAACATGATACAAGTCCCTAACAATAAACACACATACTCAGTTACCACTTATAGATAAAAAAATACCCAAATTGACCATTCTCTCTAGGTGTGGTATATGCTACTTATGTTGACAGATATAAGTAGTATGTAGAATCAATCGGAAATGAAATACCTGTAAGTAGAAGATTAAGATTAAAATGAAGAGAAGATAAAAGAGAATATAATCAAAATAACAATAGGGATGAAGGATAGATAAATTTTTTAAGAGAAAACTCAAAGAAGATGTGTAAATGATTAATTAAGTGTATGGTTTTCATATTTTGGATGTATTATCTATGAACAAGGAGGATCAGATGCAGACGTAAAGGTGAAGATTGGCAAAACAAGGGTCACATTCCTACAATTGAAGAACATATGGAACTTAAAACAGTTTTCAATCAATATCAAAGCCACAATTTTCAATACGAACGTCAAGACAGTTCTACTGTACGGAGCTGAAACTTGGAAAACTACTACTGCCATTATATCAAATAGGTATAAGTATTTATAATTAGTTGTTTACGCGAGATACTCAACATCCATTGTTCGGATATCATCAGCAACAGTCATCTGTGAGAGAGAACAAACCAGGTTCCAGCTGAAGAGGAAACTAGGAAAAGACGATGGAAATGGATAGGATATACATTACGCAAATCATGAAACTGCATCACGAGGCAATCCCTAACTTGGAATCCTGAAGGGAAGCGGAAAAGAGGAAGGCCAAAGAACACATTACGTCGGATAATAAGAGCATATATGAAAAGGATGAATAACAACTAGGAAGAGCTGGAAAGTATTGCCCAGGACAGTGTTGGATGGAGTATGCTAGTGGGCGGTCTATGCTCCTCCACGTGGAGTAATTGGCATAAGTAAGTAAGTTGCATATTTCGCCTTAGCACTATGTTATTCCGAACTGGACAATAAGTTGTTTATCTCTATTACATTGTCGTTCACTTTATGAGCAGACGGGATCATAGAATATACACTTCCCTCTTGCGTTAAATGTCACCAACGGGAAAATGTAAACCCTTATGAATGAATCCATATATTGTAAATTGTATACGTTGCAGATCGATTTTTTAGAGTACGAGTGAAAACTTGAAGGAACTGGATAAATTTCTCACCCTATTATAGGATTCATTAACAGTGACCACACCCACATAGTGATTAACCTCTATGCTAGTTCCCAACTTCATCACATATCTACATCATCAGTTAACAACAGTTTCTACACTACTTATTATCAATCAGTAGCTTGACCAATAAAATTACAAATTTAATTAGTCTGACTGCTACGTTCAGTAAATGTTCGATCATCGTAATCAATCATAATGAACTACTCTTAGTCAAACAAGCATTATAACCTAAGGATCGCTAGATAGCTATTTTGCCTTATTGCAGAATTCTCAATAGTATAAGTATACAACTCCACCACGAGTTGAACCCAAGATCTTCAGCCTAGTATACAAACGTTTTATCACATCTAAACTCACTACAGTTACTAATCACATGCTCACTAATCATTACGTTCTGATGAGAAGCCATGAGCAGTGAGTTTTAACTATGTTTACTTTGGTTCAGTTACCTATTAAGTACATTGGAAGATAGCTGAGTGGCATTACAGATTGATGAAAGTTAAATATGTAAACCATTTGATGAAGTTACTTTCCGCTTTATAACTGTATTTAAAGTGAGCTGTCTGGTTAGAATTTATGTAAAACCTTAGGGTGCTGTCATCAATGATTAGATATTAACTCTCCATGTTCTTTATCTGGGTATCATTTATCATGTACAACTTACAATAGTCATTTAAAATACAATCAAGTAATATCTTATCCTATCTATCCAATACCACTTAACATATGTATCTCTCGCTTTGGCCTCTTTATCGTCATAGGTAACATCAAAACTGTAAATGAATTGAGAATCAGATGCAATCACACAGATTGAAAGATGTATTTGTGGTTTACATCAAGAACTGACTGATCTTAGCTAGACTATCATTTAAACTTTGGAAATTCTACCATCTTCACAAATCTCCATATCATAGCAATAATCATATGTTCACTAATAACTAACTTGGAAATACAACTCTTGAAATACTAATGAGAATCTATGACCAGTGCAGTTCAACCATGTCTGATGTGATAATTTTATGCAATGAATGAGAGATGTGCACAATCTCGAATCATTTAGAGATCGATACATATAGTAAATATATAGTCTATATAGTCTAAAAGTTAAGCGTCCACGTCCGATGTTTTATGTGTACAATTCTAATGACTCCAAACCAAAGGTAAAATAACTATCTAATGCTTTTGTGGTGTGCTCTACTTATATACACATAAGTAGTATATAATGATAGTCAGGAATAAAAGATCGAGCAGGAAAGAATGGGAAAGGAAAACAATCGGTATGAAAATGCACGAGCACTGAAATCTAAGACGATGGTCTGATATTTGCAAAAGGAACAGTCAAGTTTGAGATAATTGATAGATATTTCGGCAAATGAAGTATTTACTGTATGATTTTCACATTTTAGTGAGATGTTCTGTAATTTTGTGTTCAAATACATTCAATTGTCCCCACTTGCGTTCATTGTTTAGTATACATTCAGGATTTCTATAGTTATCTATATTTGACAGAATATGTACAAATGTTTACGAAATGTTTTGATTAAGATCATAAACCGATTGATGTTAAATGACCATTGAAAATCCGGAAGCACTGGACCGTCATTTCATCCTATTGTAGGACTCCTTAGCAGTGCGCATCTATGACCCCGCCTCGCGGACTTCGAACCCGGGACCTATTAGCCTCGCGAGCGAACACTCAACCTCTAAACCATCGAGTCTGCCGGAATCCAACAGTGTTAATGTCTAACTTCAACTAATCCACGAAATTGAGTGACAGATCTACCATTGTCATCAATGAATTACCATCTCACGATAGACCCGGTTGAACTCCACTGGTCACTGCTTTTCACTGGAACTCCAGGATATCTCTCTTGAAGCCAGTCACTAGTGAGCATATGTTGATTAATATCAGAAAGGGTTTTGTGGAGATTGTAGTAATTTCAACAGTTGAGATCATGAATCGTTTAAAGCTAGATCACCATGGAAAACCTGGAAGCACTCAACAGCCGTTCCGTCCTATTGTGAAATTCCTCAATACTGCGTACTCAAGATCCCGACTCGAAAGATTCGAACCTAAGACCTACTGATCTCACATGAGACCGGTTAACGTCTAGACCACTGAGCCGACATCCAACGATATGAATGTCTAACCTCAACTAATCTATGAAATTACGCAATCATTTTTCATTGTACTGAAGTACATAACTATCTCTATCCGACACGGATTAACTTCACTGGTCACAACTTCTCCATAGAACTCATTTCAGTTTATTTTACAGATTTTGAAAAAAACGGAAATAAAAATCATTTTTATTTTTATCAATATTTATTCATTAAAATCATTAAAAAATTTTTATTATTTCACCTTAAATCAATAAAATAAATTAATTCAATTCTATTCACGCCTATATTTAAATTCGTATTCTGATTGGTTAGAATTATCAAGGTTATAACAATTAGAATTTTATTATTGGTTAATTAAGAATAGACTCATAATACGCCTATGATTTATGATTGGTCAATTTATAAAATGTGGCTCAAATTTTAAAAATATAAACATATATATATATATTTATAAAATTGTAAATGTTATAATCGTTTTTAATGTTTATTCCTTAATTAGATAAACAAAAAACAGACAAACAAACAAACAAAACATGCTTAACAACTAATACAAATATGATGATCATTTGTAAGATAATTACATAACTTGAAAGGTTTCTTTGTGCAATTACGTATCTATCTATCTATCTATCTATCTATCTATCAATCTATATATCTATGTCATGTTAGATGATTTTATCATTAATCAAAATCATATTGAATTGAATACAGTCGATTTAAATATTGACAATGTTATTCATTCATCATCATCATCACCGTCATCGTCATCATCATCATCATCATCGTTGTCATCATCTTATGCCATATCATCTGTAGAGATATGGGCACTTATATTAACATTTTTATATTATGCAATAATGATTTGTTTAGGTATATTTTGTTGGTTAAATGCTAAACGTAAATATAAAAATCGTCAAAAATCAATAGATATTTCAACATGGTCACGTTTTCATATTGGTCCTAATCAATTACATATTAAATATACAGATGATGATGGTGATTCTATGACTAATTAATTAATTTATGATAATAAACATAATGTCGTTCAGAAGAACGATGAAAGCTCCACAATCAAACCATCCAGCTCAAAGAACAAAACTCCATCATAATCATTCATCTGAGCTACAAATCTTCATCACCATCACGTAACTGGAGCGTATATATCATTTTGTACAGATTATATTCATAGAAAAACAAACCTTCCACTTTATATGTTTCTTTATGAGTTTACTGAAATCAATCAGGATTTATTATTCCATACCAACTTGTATATTATATATATGTGTGTATGTGATTAGTTCCTGTGTATAAACATGGATATATGTGTGTAAATTGAATGATGTAATTGTAGGTTATTTATTATTCAATACTTAAAAAAGAATGTAGTTGATAATTAATGAAATATATTTATATATTACTGAAATCATAATAGTCATTTTATACTTTATAGTAATTTCAATAATTGAGATCATGAATCCATTGAAACTAGATCACAATGGAAAACCTCGAAGCACTAGATGATCGTTTCGTCTTATTGTGGGAATCCTTAGCAGTGCGCATCCATGATCCTGTACCGCAAGATTTGAACACAGGATTTATCAGTCTTGCGCGAGAACATTTAACCACTAGACCATTGAGATGATATTCAACAATGTTAATGTTTAACTTCAACTAATTTACGAAATTGAGTCATCGACCACCATTGTCATCAGTGAGTTACTATCTGTTGGTTTTCCATGGTGGTCTAGCTTCAACTGACTCATGATCTCAACTATTGAAATTATTATAATATTCACAAAACCCCTTCGTCCATAAATTATAGTCTCACCATAAGATTATTTGCGGATATAATCTGTCAATCACTAGGATCATTTATCACTTACTATGTAGTAATCAATATTATATTGTAATAAGGTTAGTTAAATGAGATAGAATAGATTATTTCACTTGATAAGGTATCTATGATGAACAAATTGAACTAGTCACATGTGACAATTGATGTTATCCCATTGTTAATGTAAAGGACCTAAATTGACCGGTCTGTATTAGTATATTCACATCCTGAGTGCATTTCCTTGAAGAAGTCTTGGAGTTAGGAGTTCTCATTATGTAGAAATTGAAGCTAGAAAAGACGACTTTATTAGGACTCGTTGATTGAATACGTCTGTATCTGAGTATTAATGTTCACCTTGAGAATCAAACCTGTTGTTCGTCACTCCAGGTGCAGTCATAGATATCTAACATGTTGAATATTTTAGTAGCTATCTAAATTCAGTAACTCAATGGATAATGCGGTAATGCTTGAAACGATTCTAACTTGTTTAGAGTCATATTGTACATATCAATTCTGGGTTTCAGATAAAAACTGGACGAAACTTACATTTTGGATTCCATTGAATGCTACATTCTAAATATAATGAGGATCAAAATAATGATCCATGCAAATAAATATTAATATCAGTTGTTTTGTGGAAATCGTAGTAATTTCAATAGTTGAGATCATGAATCAGTTGAATCTAGACCACCGTGGAAAACCTAGAAACACTAGCTGGCTGTTTCGTCTGATTGTTGGACTCCTCGGCAGTGCGCTTCCACGACCCCGCCTTGTAAGATTCGAATCCAGGGCATATTGGTCTCGCGCGCAAGTGTTTAACCACTAGACCACTGAGCCGGCATCTAACGGTGTTAATGTCTAATTTTAACCAATCCACGAAATCACACCACCGTCCATCATTGTCGTTAGTGCGTTACTGCCTCACAACAGACCTGGTTGAACTCCACCTGTCACTGCTTCTCACTAGAGCTCCAGGATATCTCTCTTGAAGCCAGTCACTAGTGAGCATATGTTGATTAATGTCAGAAGGGATTTTCTGGAGGTTGTATCAATTTCAATAGTTGAGATCATGAGTTAATTGAAGCTAAACCACCATGGAAAACCTGGAATCACAATGAGTTTTATACAAAGCCATCATCCATCTCCCTTTAAAATGCATGTGAATTGGTGATAACATCAAGAAGATACTCATAGAATACATATATGTCAACATGTGACTGATCAATTTCAATCCTAAACATCAATGGTAAGATTCAAACAACCAATACAAATGAATGATATGTCTTCTCAAATGACTCTATAGAATATCAACATTTAGTCAGTATATTAACTCATTAGTTGTTCAGTGTTTACTTAAGAGAAACATCTGCAAAATGAATTTCAATATGGATTAATTTGAGCTAGTCATAGATTGATTATAAAGTAGCATTGAACAAATGCTTTGTTGTATTATAGGACATTTTAAAAATCCAGACCTTCAAATCTAATAATGATAACGTTACCCTCAGATGATTTTGTTGACATACACCTGATGAATCCCATGAAGGACAAAACACTCAACTTGTAGAAGATCTTTATAGATGCGTAAGTGATGTAAAATCCGTTTTCACCTTGTTCAACTATTTTATTTTCTTCTTCTTCATAAAATATCCATTTATAAAGTTGTTTCGTGATTAACTAGAAATTAACTAGAAATTCAATGCGGTTGTTTTAATCTCATCCTTATATTATACTTTCAAGGAAGAATATGTTTCAGGCGTAAAGAGTAACAGATAAACTATGAACATAAATCGAACATACCAGAGCAATAGTACCAGACTACTTAATTCCTGATTTTCACCCAGGCGGCCTAGGTTCGACTCCCGTCGCGGGGAAGTTTTCTGCCCCCAAATGCTCTAGTTCGGCCAAGAGTGAGGAAAGACCGCTCTCTCTATCTCTCTCGAACTCCTCTCACATAGCCACGTGTATAAGGCCACTGCACGGGAAGTCCTACTCACAACTTTCTCGAGGCATTAGTGTCGCTTACAAGATTAAGAGAACGAAAAGTGATTATCCGACTCCTGAACCAGTTTATCGGGTACTAAGGGTCCATTTAGGAGAGTTGGAAAACCTTTATTCCAAACCAATGGTGCACATGAGCTCCGATATGCTGAAGGAACAAATGGCGTATGAACAAATTATTGGTCGCCGGCTACCATGGGACTGTATCTCTTGATGGCTCCGAGTGTAGCTCCTCAAGAGGACCACTTGGTTCGGTATGGGCATCAGGGCAGTATCACAAGCCACACACAAATCAAGTGGCTTTTGTGGTGCATATGTATTCGGTGCCCCTTTGTACCAATATTTATGTGTTGAAAACATTAAATAAAATACGTATGAATCCTTTTATCTATGTAAAATAGATCATCGGTAACTATCTAAATTCATGCAGAGGGAACATAGAGATATAGAAGAAACATATGTAACAAGGTACATACTCAAATAAGTTATATTATAAGTCATTATACACTAATGAATACAATATGAATTAGAGAATAACAATGGCAAATAAATGGAAGTTTACAAAATAATCAATAAGATTAAAATGATCGTTTATCACAGTGGCGTCGATGTACGCCCTTTCTGTCTTCGCTTAAACTATGAGATTAAAATCGCTTTATATCTTTCGTTTTATCAACTAATTCTTTCTTTCTGTATTATATCCTTATATTTAATCTTTGTTTTATATATTACTAATATTAGCCTCCAAACACACTGGTACGGCCAAGAATGAGGAGAGTCTGCTGTTCCTCTCAAAATGCTCTCACATGGCTATGTGCATACAACCACTATCACGGAATTCCTACTCACTGCCTTCTGAGGTGTTGTTTACAAAATTGAGAGAACGAAAAGCGAATATCTGACTCTTTAACCAGGTTGGTGGACATGGATAGTCGACCTAGGAAAGTTGGAAAAACCTCATTCCAAACCAACGGTGCACATGGACTCCAGGATCCTGATGGAACAAATGGCGCATGAACCACTTGTTAATCATCGGCAACCATGGGATTGCATCACCTAACGTTTCTCCACTACCTTTCGGATTGGACCATTAGGTCAAAGGCTCCGAATGTGGCCCCCAAAAGAAAACCGTCTACTTCGGTTCGGGCACACGAGCAGTACCCTAACTCTCACATCAATCGAATGATTTTTGTGGTGCATATCTATTTACTACCTTCTTTTACCAATGTTTATGTGTTTCAATAAAATAAGCCATTGAAGTAACTACTTCTATGAATTTGATGTTCATCTTTTTGTTGTACTAATATGGTATGACAACTTAAAGCAATATATATTTACTTAGTTCTATATTTTTACTGACTGACCGATTTTACACCATTCTGTTAGGGATGCAGAGGAATATACCAATAATTATCATGTTAAGTCCAGTGGTGTCCTTGGACTTCAAATGGACATTTCTTATTGGTCGATATTTGTTCACTTGTTAAATATTGTACAAAATGTTGTTTTCTATTTTATGATACGATGTGGTATGCTTGATTGGTATATAAACAGAGGATGTTTGAAATACAATAATTCATAACTCAGTGGCTGTGACTTACGTTCTGAGCTCAATTGGCTGGGCTAGACAGGGAAGCGGGATCAATCGACACTCTAGGTTGTCCTTACGTGTTTTCCGTGTCATTGTAAACGATCGATATAAACGCTACTTCATCTAACCTGCAAATCACCCGTTACAACACGTTCAATCAAATCAATGAATCACTTGAAACATTTCAATATTTTTATCATATATTATAAATGACCAAAATAACTTCATAGTAACTATATTAATATCAATTATTGGTATAACCTCACACAAACTATTGAATACCATTAAGATTAGTGATAAGCTTCATTGAATTCTAATAACTACCATAGAAACTTAGGTCAAAATAATAATTTCCTGTTGATTTATATTTAATCAATGAATAACAATTTTCATTAAAATTTTATTTTAATTAACTATTTTTTTTTCTTTTCTTTTCATTAGTTGTTATGAGATATTACATTACCAACAACAACAACAAACAAACAAACAAAAAAGAGAAAAAAGGAAAAAATGTAAAAAAAACAACAGAAAAAATCAATTAATTTAACGTCCCCCTTCCCTCCTCCTCCTCCCCCTCCCCTTCCCTATTTAATTTATTATTCCCATAATGAGGTCAAGTTTAATATACTACTTATATATGTTTTATTATTATTATTATTCTCTTCAAGAGAAAAAACACTAACTGTCAAGGAAAATTCTAAAAATATCATTAAAAAGAACCATTGTTGTCGTTGTTTTTGTCGTTGTCGGTGGTGGTGGTTGTCTAGGTGGAGGAGGGGGGTGGAGATGGTGGTGGTGGTGGTGGTGGTCTATTGCTGTAATAATGAAATGTTTATACTTTAATAATTTATTAGGTCAGTATAATTGAATATTTATAATCTATTAGTATTAGATGAGATAAGATGTTGAAGTGAATTAATCTAAGATAGTTTAGATCACTATAATGTGATCATATTTGTAATGAAAGGTAATAGGTTCGAGTCTTTGAGTAAATATCAACTCTGAGATATAAGTGTATCTAATTAATGAGTTTTAATTAGAATGAAACATGTATCATAATTTATATTGTTAGCCATCATCATGCTTAAAATTACTAGAAAGACTGATAGGTCTTGGATTTGAATCTCGTGGTGCGGGATCGTGGATGCATACTGCTGAGGAATCCCATACTGTGATGAAACGGTTGCCCAGTGGTTTCAAGTTCCCCATGATGGTCTCGCTTCGATTGAATCATGAATTTCACTATTAAATTACTATAATCTTTACAAAAACCCTGGTTGATTCTAAACATCATCTGCTCCCAAGTGATTGGTTTCAAGAGGTATT